TTCAACTGATTTCTTACTACCAAGTCACTTGGTACCATTAAGTTTTTCTTATTTTTACTTACTTGTATGTGATAACCTTATGTGCAAGCAAATTATCTTCCTTGTGGGGTTGTCTTATGTCCTGTGCATGAATATTTGATACTTATTTTGGTTTTGTGCAAGTATACAAGGTTATGCCTTCCTCCTTTCTCTTGGTAGTTTTTCACCTGTTGCAGTTACCCAATATAAGAAGACAGATTGATACGATGCTTTCAGTTATCCACTGTTATTTGATATTCTCTTAATCATAATTAATTTAACCATGTAGGACTTGCAAAGATAATGCAGATAAGGCATTTGCAGACTGCTCAATTCCTCAAGAAAAGTCAAATGCAGAGATTAATGCAGAGTTAGAAATATCAGATGCTTCCGGTGAAGAAGATGCTTATGATGTAAATTCATGCAGGCAGTTAACAGGTATGTGATTTGTGCTAATGTTTGTTTAGGATATTGAGATCAGAGGTACACTGGGTTTCTTCATAATTTATTGACTTATGCTTCCATTTGCCTTTTTTTTGATAGGTAACAGTAAATTTTATTCAATAAAGTATGCTTCTATTTACCTTCTAGTTTACCATTCTTCTTTTTGGTACTGTTGCAGCTCCTCAACAGGCATCTTGGACACTTATCAAGTCAAATTTGTTTCTTCACCGCAGCCGTAAATCCCAGACCATTGATGAGGTCTAAATCAATTATATATATTCCTGTGGCTTGGAAATAGTGTGGATCTTATTAGTTTTTTGTCAAATGTAGGAACTACTCTGTTAATAAATGGTGATGAGCTCTCTTATATCCATTTTGATTGTAAATGCTGTGCTGATTTGTAGTTGGTTATTATCCACTTCATCCAGTGTGCAAGATAATCCATTATCCAATTCTAATAATTGTTTTTGCAAATCAGTTATCTGCTACTGACACAATGACATTCCAAAAATTCTTCTTTTCAAGTCATATACAGTCTCTACCTACATTTGGCCATCTCCCTCACCGATGCATCATCCTTGGTGTATATCCTTGGGAACTTTGTTCCCATAACCTATTCTATCCTGAGTTCTAAATTTTCTAGAAACTTAAATCCAAGTGAACTTGATCTAATTAAAATGGTTTGCATAGATTTAGTAGAAATCGACCTTTGGTTGTCCATGTGAGAAGATGTTGAGATAGGAGGCATGGGCATTCAGAAATGGGAGAGGAACATGGATGGCTAAGGGGCATGGGTTGGGGAGAGTGACCTGAAAAATTCTTAGATTCTTCATCAAAGGAAACCTTTGTGCCGTCTCATAAGTCATAACCTTTCCTCTTCCCTTTGTTTACAGACGTTCCTGATTAAGTAATGAAGACTTTCTTCTCCTTTTGTTCAGATATTTAGGTCTGTGATACAACAGACCAGATGCTACATATCATGTTAAATTTGAGATGTGATAGAAGAGTCCTATCTCGACATTGAGAGTGACTCACCTATTGTCATCTGATGGATGTTTAGCAGAAAAGTTGGCCCATGAATCCTCACCACCATATTGTAGAATCTAGATTGTTGACTTCCAGAATGAACATCTTGGTCAGATGACTCCACAATTGGCTGATTTTCTAGATAATGAGATGGCCAGACATGGAGTAGGGAGGAGTGACTTGCCTGGGGAAAGGCTTTCACTTTAGAGTGACCTCTCTTTGTTGTTTCTATCTTATTATCTTATTATCTCTTTTTTTTTTGATTGGTAACATGAAATTTTATTGATTGTGGTAAACAATCTTATTATCTTTAAGTGATCATTGTTAGGCTAGCAGAATGCTGCTACCTAATCCCAAATTTTCTTTTGGTGCCACAAGATTACCCCTAGAAGATCTGTTCCCTATTAACCCCGTGCTTTGCTTGTGAATAACCCACACTGTTAGCAGACCGTTGTACCCATAGAATAGAGATAACCATATCCCTTGTTAGGGACATAATCTCTGAATATGGGTCGATTGTGCCATATTCCTTTACTGCCATTTTTTATCCAGCCTACTGCTACCTTAACAGTCCCCTTCAGTCACCATGTTGCTCAAGCTCAACCTCTTACCTAGCCTGTGGATTTCATTGGAAGAGCCTGTAATTGTGGTGGTTGTGATTTGTGAAGCCAAAAATCTTGAAAAGGAATGGTAGTAGGAACCCGAAGTAGAGATAGTTCAGATTCTAGAGTCAGGTTTAGAGGGATCAAGAGGAACTCCTTCCAACAGATTAATAAGGTCAATCACTTAGAGATTCTTCAAAGTCCCTTATGCCCTTCTTTTATCCAAATCTAAAGAGAGTTCCAAACCTGAGGCCAAGTGGGAAATGTATTTGCTCTTATTGATAAAAAATGGGTTTGTTCTTGAATGAAGATATGACAAAGATAGAAGGGTAAAGCTTCTTAAAATTTAATCTTATTGCCATCAAATTCAAGAATATCATAATTGATGTCTTGAAAGAACAAAGGCGGAAGCACTGAGATGGCTTTCCAAGTAGAGGCATGAGTTACTCTATTACCACCCTGGTATCCCAGCCAATGATTTTGTGTCACAGATTGTCCTGATGTAGTGGGAATATCCAAAGCCATTTACGAAGTGGAGTTTGTGCCACAGATTTAATGCACCATTATATTGTTATTTATTGAAAAAAATGTGCTAGTTTGATACTCTAAATACCTGAACATACTTCCACCTAGGTGTTATTATGATAATCAAAATACCTGAACATGCTTATTTCCCTGTGTTGACATGATAATATACTGATATTTGATACAAAATTACAAATTGGTACTTTTTCCAGTGATGTTATTTTCAAGTGTTATCCTCCTATGTCCTAGTAATTTACATATTTATTTTCATAAAAGCATGTATTATTTTAACAAATTTCATATAGGAAACATAATAAATATTATTCCAGTTCATGTACCTATTTTGTCATCTTTTAATAAAGGTTTTTTTCCCACTACTATAAAAACATACTTATTTTGGTAGAAAAAAAAACATCTTATGCCAATAGGTGAAGCCAGTGAAGTAGCTTATTCATTGACTAGGGTAAGTGTAGGAACAAGTGAGATGTGGTGGGCATCGGTCCTTGCTGAGTAGCTGTCTTAAGCATATAGGGAGGGTGAATGATTATCCCCTTTCTTGTTTTCTTTATCAGATTTGATGTTGCTTTTATCTCTTGCGGTATTTTTTTTGGGGAAAGGTAAGGTATTGTATTAAAAACAGACAATATATCATAAAGTCATACATCTATTGCTGTAATCTTTCTCTATTTTTCCGATTTGATTAATAATATTTTTGGATCACTTGCCTATTAAAAACAGGCTATATATTATAACTTTTTCTCAGATGTTATATTAAGTCATTTTTTTGATCAATAACCATCATTTTATTATTTAAGTGAGAAAATATTACATATATACATACATGCTTGAGGGATAAAATCTCTTATATCTCCCCTTTTCCTTTTATTTCCTTGTTACAATTGTGCCCAAAATATTTGATCTCTCCCCAGTCCTTGTTTTTCTAATGCATCAGGCATGCTATTGGCTGACATATACACCCATTGAAGCCTTACCTCCATCTTCCTAGTCAGCCACTTAAATTTTTTGATTTCATTTTGATAAGATATATATATTAAATCATTTCCCCCATTTTCTGATATATGAGTTTTGTAATTTTCAACCAGATAATGGTTTGCCACTGCAAGCCACCTCTTGATGGCAGTTTGGGTTGCGGAGATGAATGCTTGAACCGGATGCTTAACATTGAATGTGTTCAAGGCACCTGTCCATGTGGGGATCAATGTTCAAATCAACAGGTACTTTTAGCTGTTATCACTTTAACTTTTATTTTTGTTGTTGTTTTTATTGTTATTATTGTTATGGTGCTGGGTCTTGTTTTCCATCTGAATGGTATAGCTTGGATTTAAATATTCATTTGCAGTTCCAGAGGGAGAAATATGCAAAATTTAAATGGTTTCGTTGTGGAAAGAAAGGATATGGGCTTCAGTTGTTGGAAGATGTTTCCCAGGGTCAATTTCTTATTGAATACGTTGGTGAGGTAATTCTGCAGTTTTTAATGAGATTCATCTTGAAGGTTTATATAATACTGAAAGTCTGAAACCCGAAAAACTAAAGGAAAAAAAGGCTACAAAAGATCCTTGAAGTGAGAACTCTTGCACATTTGATTGACACAATATTTATGTTCCATGCATTAACACTGCCCACTGAAGTAACAAGTAAGCAGATTCCAGATAAAAAAAAGCATGCAAAATTTTGATATCCTGTCCAAGGTATGCCTGAAATTCCACTTAATATTGCTTGTATTGGCCTGGTTGTACCTGTGAGGCTTACTAGCTTTAAGCAGACCTCACAATTTTTGAATTTTATCTCAGCATATCAGTTTTTTGGTCATGGTGTGCTTATGTTTGAAAGTAAATTGATGTTTTTTTAGAATCTTTAAATTGATTAAAATGTCATATCCATGCTTTTCTTTTTATCAGTTTAGCCACTCACTACTAGGGTAAGTTCTATCCTAAAATTTTCTTCTTTGTACTCCAATCAGGTGCTTGATTTGCATGCTTATGAAGCACGGCAGAGAGAGTATGCTTCTAGGGGTCAAAGGCATTTTTACTTCATGACATTGAATGGCAGTGAGGTTTGGTATTCTCTACTTTAGTTCTAATTTTAGAATTTTCTCATTTTATTATTGTTGCCCTTTAAAAGGAAATTTGAATGTTTGTGATTTAGGGTAAATGTGGGTAAGTGTGAATAATTTATTTTGATATTGGAATATTTATTTTATTTTATTATGTTTTGTGGGGGGGGGGGGTACAGTCTTCACTTATAATGTTAATATAGTCCCACCCATATTGACAACACTCTCCATGAAGCTGGTGCATGGATGTATAGTTGCCCAGCTTATTGAGGCTTGGGAGTGGTACTTTTTTTCTGTTTTTGGAAAAAAAGGAAGCACAGGCTTTATTTATTTATATGTTGGAGAAACAGTCAGTCTGCTATATATATAGCTAATATTTACATTATATATTACAAGACCAGTAATTAATTGAGCTTTCCTTGCAACTTTTGTAGAGCATTAACTAGCTGACCATTTTTTTACAAATGGTAAACATATCTCTTTGGAGGCAACAATCTCTCTCATAAAATATGCATGCACTTTATGTATTATGTTCTGTCATGCTGTACCAGATTGTGAGCGATAATTATTGCAACCTTATTGTTGTAATATTGGTTCATAGAGCCTTGTACTTGACATCCCAATACATGGAATGGAGATTTTGAGGCTTAATCTAGTGAAGTTTACAAACTCCAAGTGCCATTGCCTTGTATTCACTTTTCTACTTTAATGGGATACCACCAATTGCTTTTTTATCATAACACCAAGATGCTTGGTATGATGAGAGGCCCCTGAGAAAGCTCTTTTCAAATCTGCATGTAGTGGCTGATATCAAGGAGATATGCGTTTGACAGTGTTATGAGTTAGTAAATGACAAAGTAATTTGGTTCCCAAAATTCCACAGAATTTGAATGATTAGGAATCATATGAAATGTTGGAATCACTATCAAAAGTCCAAAATTGCTACCCAAGGGTGCAGGATGTTGATGGAAGATGCTGGAAATGAGAGAAGTCTGGAGGGTTCATTGTTAAATTAGGGTGAAAGGGTTGTCCAATGCCGTTAGTAATCATGGTCTGCAATTTCAATATCAATGGACATTTTGCCATGCAGAGAAGGGGAGGTTTCTGAGATATTTCGCTAATTCTGCTAAGATATTTGGAAAATTTCTAAAAACATGGGATTTGTTAATACAAACTTAATCGAAATTTTATRAGAAGCATAATCACACATTTAAAGCTCAAAATAATTTTAACGATCAGCTGTACATATCAAATAAGAAAAGATTAATAGACTTAAATAGGTATCTCCATGGTTTAAAATGTCGCGACATTTCGCTAATGTCGCCCGACATATGTCGGTGTTGAGACATACCGACATGAACTCTCACTTGAATTAAAAAAACAAAATATCGGTCGATATTTCGACTATTTCGGTAAATATCGCCTATGTCGTTTACAAAACCAAAAAAAAAACAATATTTTGAAACATTTCATCCAAATGTCGACAAATCAGCATATATTCAAAGTGAAGACAATCAAATTTCATCATAAACAAAAAGAGAAAAAGAAAGAGATTAAATGGGAAAAAAGAAGTTTTCAGTTTACTTACCTGAAGCTGGAAGAACTACAACTTCAGGCTTGAATAGGCACAAGAGTGGCTTCTACCCTCGGTCTTGTGCTGAAATACCTTATTGGAACAAGATGCAAGACACTGGACATCTAAAACTCCAAAAGAAATTGCTCTCATCTCACTCTCAAGTCTCATCTTGATTTAGGTATGCAATACTATCCCTATTGCCCTCTCACAGTGAATAACCATGAAAAATAAGGGGAAAAAAGGAAAAAAAAATAGAAGATGAGGAGTTGAGGAGAATGCTTGTCTTCATCTTCCTCTTCTATTTCTTCGTCTTCATCTGCGGATTCCTAAAATCCTCGCACAGTCGCACTGCATCTTTGCGTCTTTGTAGAGTCTTCGAAATTTCAGGTTGAGGGTTCGAATGACTAATGAACCCTTAAGCCTAAATGTTTAAGTTTATGTTATAAAAGACATGCTGCAGTACATGATGGTCTATTTAAGTCTATAGACCATCACAAAAGCAAGCCTTTAAATGGAATCTTTAAAACATAATTACAAGTATGTTATAGTGCAATAGGGTCTATTGTAATACTATAGACCTCCTAATAGAAAACTTATAAAAAGAATCTTTAATATATTCTTATAGTCTTATTACAAGTATATGAAGGTCTATAGTAATATTGTAGACCCTCATTATAAAAGCCAACAAAATGATTAAATAATAAGAAAATTAATATTTAAGATAAAATATAAAATATTCATAAAAACAAATGATTAAACTAACTACTTATTAAAATAAAATAAAATGCATGAATAAAATGTTTTTATAATAATAAAATATTAAATGGTTTGTCTAATTTATATGATTTAATAAATAGTTTATATAGTGATATTGTATACCCTCATTATAAAAGTAAAAAAATGAAATAATAATAAGAAAGTTTATATTTGAGATAAAATATTCATAAAAACAAAAAAATAGTGAGATATTTTATATAATAATAAAAGTATTACTTAAACTAATTACTTATTAGAATAAAGTAAAATAATTTTCTTAATAATAAAAATATTAAATGGTTTATATTATTTATATGATTTAATTTTAATTATTTATTAGAACAAAAAGATATGCATCATGGAAGATAGTAGTATAGAAAGGTGCATTAATGTTTATTTTGTTATTTTACAGAATATCATAGCATATTTCCACATATTTCATAATATTTCCACAATGTCTATAATTTTTACAATATTTCCATCCGACATTTCCAACATTACCGACATATGTCCTATATTTGGGTAAGCGACATTCCCATCGACATCAACATTTTTAAACTTGGGTATCTCTTTTTCTATCTCCTTTTTAGGTGTTTAGCCATCTTTTCGTTGTGTAGGTCACTTATTTGCCATTTTGAATTTTATCTTTTCTGATACTATATGTTTTACTTGGATTGAAAATTATCTTCTATAGTTGTGTCTCTTTTTTCTTTTTCTTTTGAACTATAGTGACCTAGTAAATGAATCGTATCAGAATAGTAGCCAACCATCCAATCATCAAATTTCCACTTGTTCATTAAAAGAAAGTTATTATATATATATATTTTAAATTCTTTTGAAAAGGTACGGTATTGCATTGATGAATAACTTAAAACAGGGAAAAACACCTTTGTGCATACTGTACAATGGGACTGTACAGAAGGTTCTTTTAAGAATATAAAATTAAAGAAAAATATGCATTAGAAAAAAAAAACCATCAACTGGTAGAAAGCCCTTCTACTATGTTTGGTGACTTCTGGGTACCATAATATCATCTTCAAAGCAGTCAATCATTGTTGCTTTTCTTGTTCTTAATGGAAGCCTATCCAACTACCAAGTTGGAATGTATATTTGGTCTATAGAAAGAAGAGAAGTCTGAGAATAAGAGCTTGAGAAGTTACGAAATCTTGAATAGGATGATTGGCTGCCTGTTACCATCCTTTATTCAACATGAATAGAATAGTAAATAACCATGAAGTCCATGTTAATATGTATTTGTATATGTATGTGTGTGTGTCCATATAATGTTAATATTTTTCCAACTACATCAACAACAGATAGCACAATAAAATTCAGTGGGAAAAGAAAAAAGGAGCATAGAAGCATACCAGTCCAGAAGCCAGGCAGATTCAAATAGAGAGAAAAGAGTGGCAGGGCAACAACAGCTGACTTTACCATATCCACACCTTAAACAAGCCTCAACCTGGAAACAACCCAACCACAGCTGACTTGAAAATCAACCCATACTTCCCATCCAGCTAGGGAGAACCTCCACTCCTGTGAAACCCAAAAAAGGCCCAAAACTGGACCCACTAGAGGCAACATGAACAAGAAAAAGTAATTGGCTTTCTCATTGAATAAAATTACTTTACCTTTTTCCAAAAAAAAAAAAAAAACATGAACAAGAAAAAGTAACCCTATTTTTATAGACTGTTCTATATCTTATTTCCTTATTTTGATATGAGGATTGCATTTAGGTTAGAGGAAGAAGGGAAAAATACCCCCAAATAAAAAATTGTATATTAAGAAGGTAGAATTAACTGTTCTCATTGCTGATGTTGTTATTTTTATCTTCATGATCAAATATGTATCCTAAACATTCTTGTGGCCTTTATATTCTATTGTTATACATACATATCTGCCTTCCAAGTAAAACAAAAAACTTAAGCTTAAACAAGGGTGGGTTATATATATATTGATATTTAATATAATATACATTACCTTTTAAAAACAAATTTTACTATTGATTTTTTTTGACTATTTTATTCCATGATATTCACCATTCATCATTTCCGTTGCTTTCAGGTGATTGATGCATGTGCTAAAGGAAATTTGGGGCGTTTCATCAACCACAGCTGTGATCCTAACTGCCGTACGGAAAAGGTTATTTTTATTCTCTATTTGCATATTTCAATAATAAATAAAATGCATTATATTAGGAAATGGGTATGTGAATAAGAGTAAGTCGTAAGTACATAACCCTGGGACTTCATATGGTGATGGAATCAACTGCAGCATGAAACCCAACAAATAGGCCCTTGTCAGCACCATATAAAGCTCACTTTCTAAAGTTATTAACTGATCTGTTTATTCCTATGTACTTACATATCCTTATGTTTATGTTTTTTTTTTTTTCTTTATTCATTTTTAACTTAGAAACCTATTTTCATTTTGATGTTGATGACATAAACTTATCTTTCCTTTTTGCTCCTCTCTCTTTCTATCTGTAGTAAGTAACAAAATAATTTATTAAACATAAAGAGAGGAGAGTATTTCCACATTGATGAACTATGTAGCATGTAACTTTCCTTGAGAGGATCTGTTGTGAAATGATTTATTTGGAAAGAGAGGGGTCAAACTTGGATTCAGAGTTAGGCAAGGTAGGGATGGAAAATGTAAATCCAATTTAAAATTGTCTTTGGTTAGATTAGTTTGAGGTCTTAGGCAACTGGCCCTATCCAATGCTGCTGTTTTGTGTAATTCTACATTTTTGTATGTTGCTGTTTGGATTTTTATGCATGTGCATATATTTTTGTATATCTCTGCTTAGATATTTGGAGTTTCATGCACACATGTTTATGTATGTGGGATGGGGAGAAAAGAGTATGATGAAAAGGTGTTGCTTTGTAAAATATTACTTAATATGATATACATGTATCATTTGTGCGTAAAATATGTGTATTTGTGTTTTTCTAGTTATGCTTATTTGTGCATTTTGGTTGCCAAAGTTCAAATTCAAAACCAACCTGACCAACGCAATTTCATGATTGGGTTGGTCTAGGGTTGAGAACATTGGGTTGGTTTAGAGTTATTATTGACTTTTGAGGGTTTAATCTTGGACTGGATGGGATGGTTAAACCATTTGATCCATGAAACTTTTCATGGAGTATCTTATAATTTGCTTTTAGATTTTGAGACTGATTGTAATGGGGATGAGAACCATGAGTTGGAACAGAAAGGGAAGTGGTCTTGAGACTCCTCAGTAACTCAGTTTGTGTCCAATTATTTGCCATCCTCAGGTAGTCCAGGGAATCTTGTCATTTCAGATTCTGGTGCTAATAACTGTGCAGGTGCTTGTGCAGCTTCTCTGGCATCCATCCATGATATTGATAAGCCCAATCTGAGTTTAAATGATAGTAAAGGAGATTGTGTGTGTGTGTGTGGGGGGGGGGGGATGAAGGAGGGAGCATTGCAGCATTGGAGAATAAAAGGAGCAAAGTGGGGAGGTTGAGGTAGTTGGAAGCAAGGTTCAAAATTTCGATACGATATGCCCCGTATCAGGCGTTTTGTATCGTATCGGTGGCTTAACAATGTGCCCCTACAGGGGTCGTATTGGGGTCTGACCTGGTTCATGGGGTAGACCAGCCTTAAACCGATCCCTCTAAACCAGTTTTAAAGAAAAAAAAGGGGAGAGCGAGCTTCGAGCATATCGGCCTGTATCAATATTTTAAACCTTGGTTGGAATTCTAGAGGGGTAGGAGAGGAAAAGGACGAGGATTTTGGGGGGGGGAAGTGAGCTGTTGGATGCACAAGATAAAGGGGAAAATCTTATTAAAAAGGGTCAGAGAAAGACAGTTGGGGGAGAATCTAAAGAAGGAAAAAAAAAAGAAAATGTGTGCTTTGGAGATGGGAGCATTTCTGATGGGGGGTTGAGGGAAGACTTAGGTAATGGTAAGAGAGATACCTCAGGTGAAGATTTAGTGGAGGGCTTAGCTGTTACAATGGGCTTGAAAGTGGAACCCCCTAATGAATTGAAATTCTATGCTAGAAAAGGGAAAGAGGTAGGAGAGAGAGAGAGGAGGAGGAAAATGTATGAGGTTGAGAAGCTTATTAATGATGTAGAAGGGGATAAGGAATTTAGTGCTAGGGGAGGTAGGAGAAAAGGATGCTTGTAAAGAAGAGGGGAGGTTGGGGTTAAATTCCAAGATTATTGGTTTGGAACATGAGGGTCTTAGTTAGTGCAACAAGATACAAGAAAGAGAGCAATCAAGTAAATACTTAGAAAGGAAAAGCTTGATATTCTTTTGATTCAGGAATCCAAAATTCAGGATCTTGATAGGGGATGGGTAAGAAGTTTCTGGAGTGTGAGAGAGAGAGAGATGTTAATTGGAGCTTTGCTCCATCTTGCGGTGTTTCAGGAGGTATAATAACAGTGTGGAAGGAGTATATAGTATAGTGCAGATAAGAATTGGTAGGGAGTTTTACAGTGTTTATGAAACTGAAAAATGTTCAGGATGTTTGAATGGGTTTTAACTATAATGTATATGGGCCAAACTCCTATATGGCAAGGAATTTGATGTGGGAAGAGTTAGAAAATATAAGGGGACTTTGGGAAGGACTGTGGTGTCTAGGAGGTGACTTTAATGTGATCAAATTTGCAGAAGAGACATGGTACAAGGCAAAGGGTGACTACTAGTGTGAGACAATTCAATGCTTTTCTTGATTCCTTTGATTTGAGAGATATTTATTGGGACAGACCAGGTTTATCTGGTGAAATCTTCAAGAAAACCCTATTTGTTCCACGTTGGGTAGATTTTTTGTGTCCCTTGATTGGGAGAAGGAATGGTGGCTCACACACCCTAATTTCAAACAAAAGGTGAAGGAATGGTGGGGTAACCAACAACAATATCCTAAGTGGGAAGGTCAGAAATTCCTGAAGAAACTACAAAATTTGAATGCAAAAATCAAAGAGTGGAATAAATTGTAGTTTGGGAGACTGGATGAGAAAAAGGCTAATCTGATTTCAACAAAAATCTAGAGAGAAGTGGACCAAGGAGGGGGATGGTAATTCATAATACTAGGTTTTTTTTATGCTATTGCTAATGGTAGAAGAAGGAAGAGCGTAATTTCATCTCTAATGGTTGAAGGTGTTGAAACTACAAATGAACGGGAGATAACAAAGCCCTTTGTGGAGAATTTCAATTAATTTATAGAAGGCCACAAATGGTAGATGGTCAGTTGAAAGACTTGAATGGGATACCTAGAAGATTTTCAAGTTGAGTTTTTGGAAAGAAGGTTTGAGGAGGAAGAGATTAAGGAGGCAATGTTTTCCATGGATAGATCTAAGGCTCTGGGGCATGATGGTTTTACAATGGCATTCTACCAAGATTGTTGAGATATCATTAGGGAGGATTTGGTTAAAGTCTTTTCATAGGAGGGGAATTCATTTAGGGAATGAATTCTACACTTCTTGCCTCAATGCCAAAAATAAATGATGCTACTCACTTGAAAGTCTTCATGCCAATTAGTTTGGTTACTAGCATTTATGAATAAATTGCAAAGGTGTAAGGTGTTGTCCTTGAGGATTTAAAAAGGTGCTCCAATGAATTCTTCATTTGTTGCCTTGATGCCAAAAATAAATGATGCTAGTCACTTAAAGTCTTCATGCCAATTAGTTTGGTGCCCCCTCAATTATCTCCAGTTTAAAGGTGTCTTCATTTAAGATAGATAGATTGCGTAGGTCCTAATTGCGATGAATGTGTTGAGGCCCAAAAAAGATAAAAATGGGAGTGGTAATTAAGTTAGATCTGGAGAAAGCTTATGGTCTTGTGGATTGGGAGTTTTTCCTTAACATTTTGAGAAGTTGTGGTTTTGGAGATTTGTGGTGTAAATGGATCAAGGGCCGTTTACAAATGAGTCATTTCTCTCTATCATTGTCAATGGGTCTGTGGCAAACTTTTTGGGGTTGTTAGAGGTCTTAGGCAGAGCAAATATCTATATCTATCTCCCTTTCTTTTTTACTTTGGTTGTTGATGCTCTAAGTAGGTTGATTCTCTAGAGCTAATTGTTTGCAATTGTTCAACAATTGGTCTATGGGGAGAGATAAAGTGGTGGTTACTCACCTACAATTTGCGAACAGTATTTTGATTTTCTGCGATGGGGAGAGCAGAGGCAGGTTTGAGAATTTGAAATTGGTGGTGAGCCTCTTTGAAAAAATTCCCAACTTAAAAGTCAATTGGTATAAAATCTTGGTGGTGGGAATCAATTTAGAAGAAGAGGAGTTGAGGTCTTTGGAGGGTGGGCCTTGGCACAACGGTTGGGTTGCTCCATGCGACCTGGGTGGTCAAGGTTCAAGTCTTGGAAACAGCTTCTCTGTATGTGCAGGGGTAAGGCTGCATACATCTCTCCCTCCCCAGATCCCACATTGGTGGGACCCCATGCACTAGGCTGCCCTTTTAGGAGTTGAGGTCTTTGGCAAAGACTTTGGGGGTGTGAAAGTGGTGAGTGGACCTTGAGATATTTAGGATTACCTCTAAGCAATGTTTTAAAATGTGGAGGCGTGATGCGAGGTGTTCCACTACCAAGAGGCCTGAGGTGTAGTTTAGAACATAAGAGGCGTAAGCCTCCCAAACACAAGGAGGCGTAAACCTCCTTAAGAGGAGGGGGGTCAAGAGGAAGAAGGAAGAGGAATGGGAGGAGGAAGAAGAGGAAGGGGGATCTCATTTTTCTTTATTTTTAATAAAAATTTTTTATATTAAGAAGAATAAAGATGCACAACACTAGTTGAAAGGGGGGGGGGTCTTGTCGAAGTGGAGGTGAGCAAGTCAGAGCGGAGCAAAACCCTCCTAACACAAAAAAAAAAAAACAAATTTGGCTGCATTGAAAATGGGGGTGGGGGGTGAAGCACCTAGCCGAAGGGGCCGGGGGCAGACCACTTTTTTTCCCCTTGTCTTTTCTTCCCTTCCCTTTCCTTTTCTCTTTTTTTTTTTTCGCTTCTCTTTCTTTCTTTTTCTTTCCCTTCCCTTCCCTTCCCTTTCTTTTCTTTTCTTTTCTTTTCCTTTCCTTTTTTCTTTTTTTTTTTAGTCTTTTTATATGAGGTGTGCATGAGGCGTATGCCTCTAGCACGCCTCATGAAAAAAGCGCATGAGGCGTATGCCCCAGAGGTGTCGGTGCCTCTGGCATACACCTCAGGGTGTTTTGGGAGCGCCTCGCCTGGCGTAYGCCTCCCACGCCTTTTAAAACACTGCCTCTAAGTGGATACCCTAGATCGATTAGTTTTTGGACTCCAATGGCGGAAATAATTGAGAAGAGACTAGATAGGTGGAAAAGGAACTATATTTCACTTGGTGGGAGACTGGGAGGATAACTTTGATTAAATCCACTCGAGCTAACCTCCTTTTTTTTTGAGAAGCAGATGGGGGATATTCTTTGGTAGCCAGAGGAGGGGAAAAGAGATCATTTGGTGAGATGGGATAAGGTGAACCTGGCTTCATCATGGAAAGTTCTAAGTGGTATCCTTCCTTAATTTCTTGATCATGTAAGGTATTTTGGCCTCTAGTAATAGGATTAGGTTCTGGGAAGATATTTGGATTGGGGAGTCTCCTCTGAAAGATGTGTTTCCTTCTTTATTTATTCTCTCCATGGTAAAAGTAAACTTTTATTAAAAGCAAACTATACAAAGGCTTTGCAGCACAAGTGAATACAAAGAGTCCCAAAAAAATGTACAATTATAGAAATCCTAGATGTCAAGCTACCTTGTACAAAGTATACTGCATTGTAACAGAAAACAATCATACAGCAATCACAGGTCCAAAAACCAAGCATCTTGTGGAACAAACACCCACCATGCCCACAACTCCCTCAAAAATCACAGCCAAATGGAATGGATGGGCACATATATCGCTGCCTTTTACCAAACCACCTGTTACACTATTGTAAGATCCATTTACCTACGTGGACATGTGCCCTACCACTTTGGAGAGATCTCCTGGAGTATTCAAATTAGTGCTGCAAGCTTCACTATCCTCAAAACCATTCCCCCTCTTCAAATCAATATTCCTCCTACCCATAACAGCATTTTTTTTTTATCAATAACAGATTCATTAAATTCATTGAAATATCAAACTATTTACAGCAAGGAAGACAAAAACTCTTATCTTCCGAATACAACTTAAACCCTCCAAAGAAAGAAAAAGAGAAAAAGAAACAATTAAGTTACAGCATCCACCGGCTGTTTTGTCCTCCTTTCCTCTGCTTCTAAATGCCTGGAAATATCATTGGCATGCACTTACTTTCCCAAAAAGAGCATTCCAAGTGGTTTGACAGTTTGAACCTCATTGGCTACTAGCCTACCACTTGATCTGAAGGAGATTTATGACGTACCTGATGAACCCTGTCAAGTTGGATTTCTTCATCCGCATGCCCATTATCCTTGTGCTATGAGTTTATTACCTTCTCCCCTTCTGCATTAGAAGGGCCATTGTTGACCTCCAAGTCCCATCTGACATCATACATGTTCTATAGCTCCGTCAAGATAGCAATGGCAATCTAGAACCTCCCAAAGCCTCACTATCAACCATTAAAAGACGAGTTGGCTCAGTGTTTTAAAAGCGCAAGGCGTAGGGGTCAATTTGCGCTCGTGGCGCATGGTGAGGTGCGTGTCTTTTTAAAGCAAGGTGCAATAATAAAAAAATGCATAAAAAGTCAGAAAAATAAAAAAATGCCAAAAAATTCAAAAAAAATGCAAAAAAATAAAAAAAGTATTAAGCATAATATTAATAAAAAGTATACACTTAAATTTTAAAATAAATGTTTTAAAAACCTATTATCTAAAATTAAAATACATAAACATAACATGCAAAGCATATTCAAATGAGAATTTAAAAATAAAATCAAACATATAAAACATTTTCAAGCATGTAAAGTAAAACCCACAATCTCTTTTTTTCTCAATTGCATTACTTAAAGTAGCTAACGTGATGTAAAACATATTACATTCCTGATTCTACGAGCCGCCTTTGTGCCATGCCTCTCAAGGCAAGCCCAAACAAGTCCATGTTAGGGTCTTAAATTCTTAGTTCTCACACAAAAAGTAATGATATTATTAATTTTAATTGCTTTTTAAGAAGATGTTTTATTAGGATGAATGAATGAACAACATTACCAAATAAAGGATTCTTGAATTCAAGATCCTAACATGGACTTGTTTGGGCTTGCCTCGAGGGGCATGGCATGGGGGTTCGGGGGGCGGAGCCCCCGGCCCAACCGCTAGGTTCAAAGAAAGCATCAAATTTTCAAAAGGTGCAGCTGCTAGGTTAAAAAAAAAAGCAGAAAAGCGTCAAATTTTCAAAAGGTGCACGCCTGGGCTGAGGCGCAAGGTGCATCAGGCGCATGTCTAGGCGCACCAGGCATGAGCCTTTTGAAAGGGCTGCGCCTAGGACCTGGACGAGGTGCCTACCCTAAAATGCGCCTCACCTGTGTGCCAAGGCACGCCTTTTAATTCACTAAGTTGGCTTACCTTTCTTAGGGTTTCTCGCTTCCATGAGGTCTAACTGAAGTAGAATCTACCCACCTCCACCTTGTTTCTAATGTGGTTAAATCATCAGCACCCTCAAATGGAGACCGACGAATGGAAGAATTTGCCACCCCCTGCACTAAAGTTGGAAGAGAAAAGGAAAATCAATGTAATTTTATTCTTTATAAATCTTCTCCCTACTTGTGATTGGAACTAGCTTTGGAGTTCGAATTATTGCTTCTTAAGGGGATTTAATGTTTGAACCTGCTATAATCAAACCTGGGATCAACAGGAGAAGCTTCGAGCCCACTAAAATTTTGATGCATGTCTAGGGCTGTCAATGGAGGTGGACATCATATACCTAACCAATTATATTGTTATCTGCAACAGGTCTTTGTTCCAATGGCTTGGAATCTGATTTTTGAGTAGGGAGGATCATTTTAAGCCTTGCCCAACCTGGCCTGCAAATTTCTGGTCTTGCGCTTGGGTTTTATACAGCCCTGGGCCCAACACTTCAGGTCCAGACTTGGCTCGGCTGACAATATATTTATATATTATATACTTTATATATGTTTTATTTTATATTTATGATATATAAATATTACAGAATGTTACTTGTAATATATTATATATTATTTTATTTTTGTATAAATTAGAACATATATTTTGTACATATATATTACATGTCATATAATATAAATTATTATGTATATTAAATATAGAGTATTAACTGACGGAGGCTCAATATGGACCTGGAGTGGTTAGTGAATGCCATTTACATGATAGACATACCCCTTGGGAGGTGTTTCATTGTAGATTTTGCTTGTAATAACTGTAACATGAGATGCCTGATCTCATGAATTTTTAGTTCATATATGATATTCTTATGATGTGTGCGAAGCTGTTATAGCAAATACCACCCTGAAGCTGTTCCTTTTAATCTAGAATCCAGAGCTGTCAAGGGATGGAGAAGCTGTTAGAACTCTGGTACTGTTGCTTCATTTCTATCATGTTATCAATGGCGTTTTGCCTGGAACCTTCAAGATTCAGAAAAGCTTTAAATTGTAGAGAGTGGGTTTGCCCAAGGGTTGTTGCAGGAACTATGACACTTAACAAGGAGAATGATGCAATTTGCATAACAAAATAAGGACCTTCATCATTGCTTCTCAGCTAACCTGTTATAACTCTTGAAACTCTTCAATAATTATATAGTTGTGTTTAGCCTTTTTCAAGCCTGTTAGAATAGCTTTAAGTTGTTATGCCTCGATTGATTCCTCAACACCAATAGGGGAATAGATAACCAAAATGTCTCCTGCATGGTTTCTAATCACTCTTCCTACTCCTGAGTCCTGATGGTCCAGGGTTCCTATGCTGTAACCATCAAAGTTCAGCTTGATATGAGGGGGCTGTTGTTGGCACAAACTAGCAAGTACTTTTCTCCTGGTTGGGGCAGATGCAGCCACTTCCTTCCTATTTTTAATGATGCCATCTGTTGTATATGGTGCAAAGAGCTCCATGATGTTCACCCAGTGTGATACTTTGATAATATATTATCAGTTTACTGTTTATCCAATTATGTGATCTTTAGTTTGTTTTTGTTGTCCAAATAAAACCTGATTTGGGGATAGCTTGTCCTCGTATGCTTTCACATTTTTTAAATCTTTGTTTTTGTTATAATTGTAAGATGCAGATTGAGTATCATCTGACTGTGCTGATTTTCCTGTAGTTTTTCTTTTATCTTTTTAGCAAAATTTAATGGTGGTGTGTGCCGATCTCATGTATGAAAAATTTTTATGCAATTAACACTTTCTTTTTCGTTTTTTTGTTTTTTGTTTTTTTTTCCGAAAAGGTAAAGTATCTGTGAAGAAAATGAAGTTGATAGATAATGGATGTATGGATTTAGCGTAGATCTTGTTACATAGTATGATGTACTTGGTAAATATTTGTTTTCCTCATTATCTTTTTGATTGTTAACTGTATAACTTTTATTGAATTATAAAAGAATGATGTATGTACAACAAGCCAAGCATAGGCTGTTTCCAGAACACCTAAGCCATTTTTGTTTATATATTAGAAAAGAGTCCAAAAAGTTTCTGTTCTGTGCACCCTTTGTACCAATCCATCTTCATGATTTCAGGTGTCAGTTGAATCCTAATATTTCTTTTTAATTTAAGATGATTATTTTGGTTTATTGCACTAATATGTTTTCTTATATAATATCTATGAATTAATGACTGAAATATTTAATATTAATGTACTTCCTGTTATTATCTTTTATTTACTTATGAAATGTTGGCTATACTTCATCAGTTGTTTTTAGCTTTGATAATTTTTGTATATACAGTGGATGGTGAATGGAGAAGTTTGTATTGGGCTATTTGCTCTAAGGCATATTAAGAAGGTAATACTTCAGTATCATGTTGGAACTATACCTCTGATTGCAATTCATTGTTTTCAATTTGGTATCTTCTGGCCAACATTTTTGTGCTTCATCTACTTACATTTCCCTCTGATGTTTAAACCTGAATAGTTGAAAAATGTTTTGCATAGTTGTTAAGACACTAAGTTGAAGCTGGGTGAAAGATGAGCATCTTACCACCTAGGCATTGACTGGGTAATGTTTTATTATATAAATAGTCTAATTGATTTTAGCTTGTTTCCCTATTCTTTTTGAATCATCTTGTTTCTCTAGTTGGTATAGCAGCCAGACAACATTAAAAATGAACTAACATGAAAGAACCAAACATTTACAGTAGAATTGAAATGACATTTCATGGCCTATAAAAAAATAGGGGATGAATCTCTCTCCTGTTAATGAGGGAAATCACCTCTATCTTTTTATGGGAAATTGGGAACTAGGAGTGTTCACAGTTCGGTTCGGTTCGGTTCTAGGCTATTTGGCCAACTGAACCGACCTGGTCAGGCTGGGGAGTTGGTCAGCTGAAACTGACCAACCAATGATGAAAACCAGCCAACTTGGGTTGTATCGGTTTGGGTCAGTTTTCGGTTTGGTTGGTTGGTTCAAAAAATTTAAATTAAAAAAAATTAAATTTAGAAGTTAAATTTAAATTTAAAGAATTCTAATGGTGTTATTAAAAAGTAAGTTGAAAAAAATTAAAAATTACAATGTAAAATATTTTAAACTAGGAAATATGGGAATTTTCTCACTTTCCCTTATGGTTGGGTCAGTTCGGTTTTGGTCAGTTTACAAATGATCAAACCAAAACCGACCTGACCTCTCGGGTTAGCATAAAAACTAAACCGAAACTGACTGTAATAGTTAGAAAACTGACCAACTTGGGTCGGATTGCGTCGGGTTGGTCGGTTTCATCGGTTTGATGAACAACCCTTTTGGGAACCAGGTGAATTAAAGAAAGATTATTTGATAAAAAGGGAGATTGTTAGGGGGAGTAAAGATCAAGGATGGTTGGGAGTGGGAAACTTGGGAAATAAGAATATTTCCCCTCATGATGTGGAGATCTTGTTCCGGTCATCTTTCCTCAACTTGCCAAGAAAGAGTGAAAGAATTATGTGGAGATGCATTAGGGCAGCACTGATATGGTCAATTTGGGAGGAACGAAATGATAGAATTTTCAACGAGAAGGCATGCGGCAAGGAAGCTCTCATGGAGAGCATCCCAAGTCAGTCATCATTGGATTAAAATGATGAAAATATTCAGACATTGGTGGTGTGTTCAGAGACTCAAGCAAATTTTCGGGACCATTAGGTGTAGGTGATTCAATAAAGGCTGAACTATTAGCACTTCTATAGGGGTTAAAACATGCCAAGCAAGCAGATTTTAAAAACTTGGAGGTTGAAGGCACTCAACACTGGTGATATCATGGACTGACACCAGGGGTAATGCTCCTTGGATCTATAGACATTCCTTATGGGAGATTGAAAGCCTAGCAAGGGAACTCAATGCTTTTTTCACATAGATCAGGAGGACTGCAAAGGGATTACACTGAGAGGTATAAAGGCGTTTGGGTGARGCGACCATAGAAAACTGCCTAGGCGTCACCTTCACAACTATGAGACCAAATATTCCACAGATTCTGGGTTTGGATATGGGGGGTCAGTGGAGAATCTTTTTGGAGTTGTGACTACTGTGAAGCTAGATGGGACCAATTATTTAGCTTGCTCTCAATCTATTAAGGTACACATGTGTAGTAGAGGAAAATGGGGTTACATTACAGGGAGCAAGAAGAAACCGAAGGAGGATGATCCTACCTATGAAAGGTGGATGCAAAAAAACTACACAATAGTGGGTTGGTTAGTGAATTCTATGCAATCACACATTAGTCAGCATTACCTGTGGATGGAAATTGCAAAAGAAGTGTGGGATAGTATCACAGAGACCTATTCCCAAAAGCTTAATGTTACTTGGGCCTACAAATTGAAGCATGATGCGAATAATCTTAGACAAGGGGAGAAGCCCTTAGCAGTCTACTTCTCTATGCTGAAATCTCTTCGGCAAGAGATTGATCTGATGGAGACTATTGTTTGGGGTTGCACAAAGGATGCAAAAACATATAGGAGGTTGGTGGAGAGAAATACTCGGAGTATGATATTGTGAGGCAAAATGTTTTAGCAAAGGATGAGGTGACTTTGTCTCAGGCATATGCTATGGTGAGCAGTGAGGAGAGTAGAAGATATGTTTAGTCTGTTGAGCCGCAGGTTGGTCACTATGCTAATGCGGGGATGAAGCCAAAGGTTAGCATTGGGAAGAAAGATGTTATTTGTGAATATTGCAAGAAGCCTAAACACACTAAAGACACATGTTGGAAGCTGCATTCAGAGCTTGTTCCTACTAGATTCAAGGAAGAAAATGATGGGAAAAGGGTTGAAACTAGAAAAGATGGAAATGCAAACGCAGCCACCTCTTCACAAGGTGAACAAGGACAGGGTGGAGAGAAGTCAATGGGAGAATAGCTTGCAGCCGCCAGGGCTGAATATGAGAAGTATGGCCGAATCATCAGTCACTTGGAGTTCACTGCTATAACTCCTTTAGAGATTATTCCTTCCACTACATATGCTCACTCAGGTATTCGTGCCACTACACATCATGCTTTTGTCTCAGGTACTCATAAAACCCCCTGGATAATTGATTATGGTGCTTCTGACCATATGACCAGTGTTTCACACTTATTCACCTCCTACTATCTTTCTGGATGGGATAAGATATCCCTTGCTGATGGCTCCCTAGCCCCTATCACAGGAAAGGGAGACATTAAGACCTCTAATGCCCTGACCTTGTCATCTGTTCTTCATGTACTTAAACTTAATACCAATTTGCTAAGGAATATTTTGAGAAGGACCTTACCTCTTATCTTGAGAAGTTTGGGGTTATTCATCAGAGTTCTTGTGCTCGCACTCTAGTGACTCCACAACAAAATGGAGTAGCGGAGAGGAAAGACAGACACATTGTGGAAGTTGCAAGGAGCATTCTTTTTGCTACCCATGTTCCTTTGAAGTTTTTGGGTGATGCGGTTTTAACAGTTACATACTTTATTAACTACATGTCTTCTCGAGTCTTGGGTTAAAATCTCCCTTTGGAGTCATCTTTTCTAATGTTGAGATTTTCTCTATTCCTCTGAGGGTCTTTGGTTGCACTTGTTATGTCTACATTCCCCGTTCCAAAAGACACAAGTTTGACCCCAAGACTCAAAAGTGTATCTTCCTTGGTTATGCCTCCACACAGAAAGGGTACTGTTGTTTTGATCCCATTAGTGGCACCCGGTTTGTTTCTATGGATTATACCTTTATAGAGTCGGTTCCTTTTTATAGCCATCCTTCTGAGGGGGAGAGATCTCTCAAGTTGTTTTCTTCATCTCTTCCTTTGTCAACTCCAATTGAGTCTTCTGTCGGAGCCCTCCACAGTTACCCCCATTCCCATGGAGGGATCTCCTTTGAGGTCTTCCACTCCTTCTCCTCCTCCTCCTCCTCCTCCTGCTAGTCCAACGGTTGTTTCCACTCATCCTATTCTCTAGAGGTGGTACCAGCGACAAAGGCTAAGGCAAACACAAGTTGATCCCACACCTTTAATTGAGACATAGGTGCTCCCGATTACTGAAGAGAGGACATGTCCATCACCTCCTCCACCAACACCCTCGTTTCCAGACCTTGGCCTACCCATTGCTTTGAGAAAAGGTAAGAGAAAATATATAACTCATTGTATTTCCAAACACCTTTCCTACAGCTTGTTGTCCCCATCCTACTATGCCTTTTTAGCCTCAATTTCCTCTCAATCCATCCTAAAGTCTGTTTCAGAAGCCTTAGCCACACCAGATTGGAGGGATGTATTGAGGGGTGCAAGTCGAGCGGGTTGGGTCGGGTTTATGATCAACCCGACCATGGTTTCCATCCATGCTTTTTTCACATGGATCATGCAGATGGGTCAATTGAGAGGTATAAGGCTTGACTTGTTGCCAAGGGATATACCCCGGTATATGGGATAGATTACACTGAGACCTTTTCTCCAGTTGCTAAGATGACTTCGGCGAGAGTTCTTTTATCCTTAGCTGTGAGCTATGATTGGCCTCTGTATCAATTTGATGTTAAGAATGCATTTCTAAATGGTGGTCTCACTGAAAAGGTATATATGTCCCTTCCTCCTGGTATATATGGAAGGAAATGCAGGGTAAGGTGTGTAGATTGAAGAAATCATTTTATGGCCTGAAACAATCTCCATGTGCTTGGCTTGATAGGTTTATGACTGCTCTTGTTTAGTTCGACTACACTCAGATTCAATCAGATCATACTCTTTTTGTTAAGAGAAAAGGCACTCTGGTGACATTCCTTATAGTTTATGTAGATGATATTGTGGTTAAGAGAAAAGGCACTAACTTCCTTCTTCTTTTCTTCTTCCACAACCTATTGCTGAAACTTCTTTTCTTCTTCTTTCTTTTTCTCTCTTTTCTTCCTTTCTTGCATTATCTGAATTACTGTAGGTGTAATTTTCATCTGAGTCCAACACAATTCCTCTCCTCAACAGATTGTCCCTAGTCAATAATCTAGTTAAGCACATAGTCCATACAAGGAAAGCTACTTTGTGGGGACATTCTTGCACCTAACAAGGTTTACAGGAACTACCTGTTCATCTGAACTGACAAAGGCTTTGTAGAAAAAGCTAACTGTGAATCTTCCTGTCCTTTCCTACTGCCTAACTCTTCTGTCTGCATTACCAGCCTGCACTTGAGCATTGTAAAGAAAATGAAACATTTCTACCATAGTATCCAACTCTCAGTCATTCAAACTTTTTCTGAACCGAGGGTGTCACACCACATTGTCCTCTTACATTTGTAGACAGTCCGCTACAACATCCTTGTCAGCAGTCAAGTCAAATAGCAGGGAAACCTTCCTACAGGGATCAATCTCTGCACCAAACGTCCTTCTAAAAACCCACCCATGATCCATCTCCAATCGTAAATCTCATTCCTCTTGAAAAATGGCTATAAGCTTTTTCAATACCTTTCCATACTGAGCAGCTGTAGGATTGATTAAATGTCCAAAGGCCACCTTGTTGATCCCCGAATCTCCAGAATCACTTTTCCATCAAGGCAATTTTCACATCCTTAACTCTCATTACCCCCAAACCTCCCTGGACTTTGGTTTACAGACCTCACTCCAGTTAAGTAGGTGGTATTTCTTCTCCTCTCTCCACCTCCTCCACAGGAAACTCCTCATTCTTTTTTCTATACTGTCTGCCATACCAGCCAGCATAGAATAAAGAGAGCAAGTACATTGGAAGGGAGAACAGAACACTTTTCACCAAGGGGATTTTGCCTCCATAATRAAGGTACTTTGCTTTTCAAGAGTCRGTCTTTACCAGTTCTTTCCACAATTGATAAGTTAGCTACCCAACTTCAGCTTCAGCCATTAAGGAGCCACTGATCCCCTGATCTCCTATTCCCTGGTATTTAATTATTGCGAGTAACTGAACTCAAACCTTGAGAGTAGGGGTGTCAATTGGACTGGATTTGGTCCACTCCGACCYAGTCCAATGTGAGTCCATTACAAATGGACCAGGTCCAATCCAATCCAATGAACATTTTGGACTGGTCCAATTCAATCTCTGGACTGTCCAATCTGTTCAAATTTGTTTTAATTTAGTTTAATTCTTACCCAAACCTGTTCCATTGACACCTATATTCTTATCTTCTATCAATGGACCAGATATTGTCTCAATCCAACCCAATCCAATATAAATTTATTACAAATGGACCAGGTCCAATCCGATCCAATAAATACTTTGAACCATTAAATCTGGACTGGTCCAATTCAATATGTCTTGTTGGTCCGTCCAATCCGTCCAAATTGATTTTGGTTTGGTCAGGTCCAATTCAAAAGTGGTCCATTGACACCCCTGCTTGAGAAAGAAGGCGAGAGAGGAGAGAGAAAGAATAGAAGCCTAGGAATCACTCCTAGGGTTCAAGAATCACCGTAGGGCTGTATGAATAACTCACCACAAGTCACACAAGCAGCAAATAACAAACTACTTGCTAATTTGGAAGAGCTCAAAAGTACAATTGTCATTCATAAATCAACTTAAAGAAAAAATAAATAAATCAAACTATTTAACCAAAACATGATTGATGACTCGTCAACTCAAACTAATAGGCTGGACCCTACAGACATATGTTAAAATGACCAAAATACCCCTACTGTACAAAATTACAGATATGCATAAAATCTCAGAAAATTCCAAATTTGGCTCTTTAGTTCCCACATCACCATTGCTCAGCTTTTGATGATAAATTCATAATTGGTGGAAGTATAAGAGGGATTCATGATACCCTTAGACAGGTAGCTTACCTTGACTTCATCTGAGTGAGTCTCTTCCAGAACTTGAAATCTTGATCCCTCTTCAGCCAACAGATGAATGATCTGCCTTGAACAGAAACACTCATTAACAAAGAATATACCTTCCACAACCACCCTAAGCTAATGCTGCTTCCATTGGCCACTACATCTAACTATTTAGTGATAGATCTCAACCCATTCTCCCACATCAGGATCGTCAGAGAATATTTTTTTCCAGATGAGATTATCCATGTTCACTTCCATGAACCTCCCCAATGCTTACTCATTTTGATGAATGTTAGTCTCTACCACATGTTTAGTAGAACACTGAATACTCTGACCCTTCATCTTGCATATCCCTTTGGTTAAGGAATCCATCTGATCAAAGACTCTGATCTCCTCAGCAGCAATAAACAGTTAGTGAAAATCTGTTGAAGCATTTGCAGCAGTAACTCAAAAATTGCTAAGGATTCCTTCTACAATGAGATAAAAAGAAATCCCCACATAGCCTCCTTTTATATATAATGGGTCTGCTCCTACATGCCCACCCCATGGTGACCCAATCTTCTACTCATTTAAGCTCGGGTTGAGCACTTTCAAAGCTTCCACCTAGGCATTTAGGTTGAAGGGCTTCCCACTCTGCATGTCCCTCAGCTACAAGCACTCTGTTTACAGCACTATACACCTGGATCTTCAGAAAATCATCCTTTGTGATTCCCCAAAATGTAGTGCCATAAATGAACATAAGGAGGCTTGTAATTGAAGGTGATTTGGAGGTGGTAGTATACTGGCTAAAAGAAGACAAGGCTGGAATGTGGAGTTACAGCAGTGAAAGGAAAAAGTTCAAGTGGCTGGCTAAGGACATTGAGATAAAGTACAGCTGGGTGAAGAGATCTGCTAACTCATTTGCAGATGGGTTAGCCAAGCTAGGGGTGCTTAGGGATTCTTTGTCATAGGCTCAACTTTAGTTCTGTATTTTTTTTTTCTTATGGGATCCTAGCCTCTTTTGGGTAGTTACTTGTTATTGATAAAAAAAAAATGTAGTGCCAGAGTTGGAAGAAAACATTCTTATATGTTTTTTTCTCTTTTTCAAATTTTTAGTTCCTGCACTGCTTCAGCTCCCTTCCCCATCTAACTTGAACTTATTTGGCATCTCACAAGTCTGTTCTATCCTTTTCAAGACCTTCAGTTGCAAAGCAGAGGAATTCTGAAGGTGAGAGTGAGAATTAAGATGGGATTCCAAATAGTTCTCCACCTTGCCATCAGGACATTGGGACACCGGCTCTCCTGGGGAGGCACAAATCTTTGATGATTTCCATCTTTGGCCCCTTATATCTGTTGGGATGACTCCCCAAGCCAGACGATCAAAGCCCTAGATCTGGAAGCCCCCAAATTGGTGCTTACACATCTGTATGCACTGTCTGCAAGAATCCTTAACTTGGTTTGTAATTTCATTCTAGCATACTTCAGTATGGATATGGATTGTAGATATTGGTTAGCATGAACTTGATGAGTAGTACTAGTACCATTAGTATGTGTGTTTTGTGTTTATTTTTTTCTTTAATAATACTAAATTACATGCTAAGATGTGGGGATTTTGCTGCTTCAGGGTGAAGAGATAACATTTGACTACAACTATGTTCGTGTATTTGGGGCTGCTGCAAAAATATGCTATTGTGGTGCTTCTGACTGCCGGGGCTATATTGGTGGTGACCCATCAAATACTGAAATAATTGTCCAAGGCGATTCAGATGAAGAATACCCAGAACCTGTAATGATCGATGAAGATGGTTATAACAAGGATAATAACGGGGAAACTATTTCTTCTACTTGTGTTAGCGGTCGTGCAACTCAACATGCAGAAGTTCCTCTGCAAACTAGAGATGCACTGAACCAAGCTGTATCTACCATTGGACAGTTGGAGCTTTCATTAGATAATGAAGACATCACGAGCAGATCTTCCTCTGCTGTTCCACCTTCTGAAGTTTCTTTGACAATGGAAAACAATATAAGCAAGACCTTGTCTACTGTTGGACCATTAGATGTTTCTTTACAAACAGAAGACACTATAGGCAAATCCTCATCTGCTGTTCAGTTGTTAGAGGTTTCTTTCGAAAAGCAAGAGGCTATGAACAAATCGGTGTGCACTTCCCAAACTTTGGATACATGTTTCCCAGATGCAAAAACTGTTAGGAAATCTGCAACAGATTTTATTGATGCTAAAAAGTCCAGATGTGATGCAGTGGAGCATAAGAGAACTGTGACAAAATCACATCCTCTCATGAAATCGTCTCGGTCATCTAGTTCAATAAAAAAGAGCAAGAACAGTGCTTATCCTATGATCGCTAACAAACTTCAGGTGATGGCAAGCAAGCCAAGAAAGTTGCTGGAAAGTGCTGCAAATGACCGTTTTGAAGGAGGTAATTAATTTCTCTGATGTAGTCGGACTAGATTTGTTTTGATGGATGGTTGGACTAGAGTCTCTCATCTATTTACCATATCATTGAGATATTCCTTGGATACTTGCAGTTGAAGAGAAACTTAATGAGTTGCTAGATGCTGAAGGTGGAATAAGCAAACGCAAAGTGAGTGTAATTCAGCTCAAATTTCTTATCTTTAGGAGTTGGGAGTCTATTTTCTGCAGGCATGAAGTATTGATCATGCAATTTTCCCCCAAACTTCCAATGCTGCAATATTATCTGATTTTTACTCATTTATTGATATTATATGTATGGTTAACCTTGTTTATGTTTCTATGGCATTTATTTGTCACCAGGATGCTCCTAAAGGTTACCTGAAGCTTTTGTTTGTAACTGCAGCTTCTGGAGATAATAGTAATGGTGAACCATTTCATAGGTTGTTATCATCTTTTTGCTCATCCAGAAGACCTTTGTAGTACTTTCTACATTTGTTAGATGTTCATATATTATTGTTTTTAATCATTGCTTGTTGCCTGAGCAATTTTGTTGTACCACCTTTTCTGTTGCAGTACTCGAGATCTTTCAATGATTCTTGATGCATTCTTGAAAACAAAATCACGGACAGTTTTGAATGATATAATCAACAAAAATGGTACTGCTACCTTGTTGTTTATCATGGGGTCTTTCCTTTATCAAAGAACAAATACTTTAGTGTGAAAAAAAGATCGCATGCATATTGATGGAGAAATGATTACTTTTTGGTTTTTTCAGGTTTGCAAATGCTACACAACATAATGAAGCAGAATCGGAAGGACTTCAGCAAAATTCCTATTCTCCGGAAGCTTCTCAAGGTCAGAAAACTACATATTTTATGATTCTTTTTTGGTACAATGCACTTTCTTGCAACTGATGTTATAGATATTTTTTCGGAGAGATTTAATTTGAGGATTGATCTGATATCTTACCATGTATTTTGGTGACAGTTGATTGTGTCAATGACTTTTCATCAGGAAATATCATAACATTCTAATTATTATTTACAATTCTCACTTTTTTTTTATAATGTTGGTAACTATGAAAGAGTTCTCTAGGTAGATAATTGATAGAGAAAAGGACTTTCAAGAATATCACAGGGAGAAAAAGCACAACTCCCTAAATCACCTTTGAAGTGTTCACAGAAACAACTCACTCTCCAAACACATTCTTGCAACTATCTATCAATTGAATTAGCAGATCCTGATATGCATTTGGACAAGGTATTCAACTTATAATCCAGCTCTTGCCTCTTTAATGAAGTATCTCAGTCTCCAAGGCCCATCAGACCCTTCCTCTAGCTGATGATTACCTGAATTTTATCCTCCACTTTATCCTTTCACATACAAGGGGAATTGAGAATCTAAGTTCCACAATTACTTGGTTTTCTGAGGTCACCATCACCATTGAAATGACTAGGGAAGTATGACCCCTGTTGTGTTCTTGTAAACACGACTTAAAATAGTTTGTTTGCTTAGCCTCTCTACATGGATGAAGTGTCTGACTGACACTCTGGCACTTCATGGATTCTTGAGGGACACCTACATAATATTTTCCTTTCTCTTTTTGATTATTTGACGTAAGTGAACATCCGATGTACAGAAAAACTTTTAGATCTTTTCTATAGGTACGTAATGTTAGAATTCTATTTTAATAATTTAACTTTTTTGTATAAGTTTCTATGGATCCTAACCTTTTATCTTGCTGACTGAGATTCTTGGATACATGTTAAATTCTAATTCTTATGTTCATTTCCATGTAATACTGCTTACCCCTCCCAGGATCCCAGATAGCTGGAGCCAACATTGGGTAATGACCCCTGATAGATGTGTCTAGCCGCCCCCCTGCCCCTTCTTTTTGTATACAAATATTCCTTTTTCAAAACGAAAAAATCAAGATGAGAAAGTAAATGGCACTCGATGACTAAAAAGCTAAAGGAAATGAAATATTCTCTTATTTGATATACAAACTTGTTTTCTATGGTTTTTTGAGCATTGAATGTGCAAATATACTTATCCTAAGAATTCCACATAGTTTTCTTAACAAATTCCATGTTTTTAGAAAATTTCTTGATTTCTTTGGATTTGCTAAATATTTTATCAAATTATTCAAATATCCCTGAAAATTTCCCATCTCTGCATGGAAAAATGTCCAGTGAAAATGAAATTGCAAATGTTGTTTATGATGTATAGTGGAGAAAACTTTTTGATGCATTTTGATTTTTGACATGACATTTCTAGTGGTTTCATCCATTGGTTATTGCAATGATGATACCATCTTTTTTACTGCGAATTACTTGCATGTTTCTGTCAGATTAAATATTTATTTATATTGCAGGTATTGGAGTATCTTGCACTAAGGGGAGTTCTTACCTTAGAACACATTAATAGGGATCCTCCTCATCCTGGAATTGAAAGGTCAGATGATCTGAACAGTTTTCATTTATTTCTCTTCCTACTGTCATTTTCTTATAGTTAATATTGATCACCCAATTAAAATACTGTTCAATTTTTATAAACTGGACCATACACCAAACCTCTTGATGGGATAGTTTATCACTTAGCCTCCTTAGTGAAAAGAAAGCTAAGCAAAAAAAAAAGGTGTTTTTTTTCCACATTTACTGAAAATAAGGTATAACTGATGCCTAATTTTTCTTGAAAAGAAAATAGAAAAGAAATTCTTTTCACATTTACAAAAAGTTTCTTTCTCCTCGATTTCTCTCTCTCTCTCTCTCTCTCTCTCTTTGGATTGGGTAGTTCTTATATGCTAGGTGATTTGCATCTATCACAAACTGTTTTCTTGTTGCTAGTTTTTGATTGGTGATGTTTGTTGAAGTCCATCTTAGTTGATATCCTGCCAATGACCCAGTAGCTGAGAATCTGAGATGGTCACTCGGCATCACTCCGATTACGGAGGTGCAGGATCAAACCCGCAAAGCTGCAGGCTCTCTGTGGCATGGTCGTTGGACCTCATGGGTACCCTGCTCTGTCTCCATCCGACCACCCCTTGATCGGTTGATCCCCCTGTAATGTAATTCATAATACCAAAAAAAAAAAAAAATCTTAGTTCATACCCCTAAGATATACAATATTGGTGGTATTGACTAACTAATAAGCATGCACTGCTTTCCTTAATCTCAGTATTGCATTGACTCTTCTTAATGGATGACATTGTCTGTGTTGGATATGCATCAGATTCTGACACCCCACAGATTCATGAGGGACTCTTCTACATAACATTTCCTTTTTGTCTATGAGTTTATTTAACATAAATGAACAACTAATGTACAAGTTGAGTGTTATTTTGTGTATCAAATATTACTTAGCAACAAAGACAACATTTTAGACCACTTCTTAGGTATTTAATATTATAACTCAAAAAATATCAGTCGTTTTTTTGATAAGTGATAAGTTGAATTTTATTAAAAATAATTAAAAACTATCAGTGGATACAGCCTGGAGATTGCAAGAGGCGCGAGCTGCAGCTTCCGAGAAAACAAAATTACAATTGAGCCCAAAATAAGTTGTCCCTGAATGCCCCTTGCTTAGCTAGAGAATCTGCCAGCCCATTAGCTGATCTCCTTTCCAACTGAACTCTCACTGTTGTGTTGGAGGTTAACCAATTGAATCTTCTCATTGCCGCCCTAAAGGACCAAACTACAGATTCCGGCTCCTTCAGCCACCTAGTGACCAGTTTAGAGTCGCCCTCTATCAGCAGGTTCCCAAAGTTCACTTCTCTAGCCAGCTGTGCTCCCTTTAAAACTGCTTAACCTTTGCATTAACTGCATCCCTCACTCCAATTGGGCCAGAAAATAGTGCAACAATCTGACCCTCTGCATTCCTAAAAACTCCTCCCACTTGGGAAGGTCCTGGATTACCGAAGCAAGTGCCATCAAAGTTCAGCTTGATGAAGCCTTCTTCAGGGGGCTTCCAAACTGCTATAGGCTTGTTCTTAGCCAAGGGAAAGTTAGCTATCAGTCCCCAGTTTCTCCAAAGGTCATCAAAGGAGAATTGTGAAAGCAAATTCGAAGCTTTAGCGCAGTTGATGGCTCTGTTCAAAATGCAGTCCCAAACATTATCCACATCCCTCTCTTTGTCATTAAAATTCCTATCATTTCTTTCCTCCCAAACTGTCCAAACCAGAGGAGCCCTAACACATCTCCACAACAGTCTCCCCCTTCTCTGAAGCCACCTGAAGGTAGACGGGTTGATTAGCCCACCAATCTTTTGAGGCTCTGTCCACGTGCAACCCAAATGACCAAGGATCTTTTCCCACAACCCTACAACAAAAGGGCAAGAGATTTGTAGATGGTAACAACTTTCTCCATTAACTTTGCAAAGGAAACACCAATTTGGTGAAAATGCTACGGTTAGGTCTTTTCTTTTGCAGGTTATCCATAGTGTTTAACTTCTCAAGAGAAGCTTCTCAGCATAGGGCTCCCACTTTAGGGGGAATAGGTTTGGACCAGATTTCCTTGCAAAAAAAGGGCTGAGGGTTAGGGCAGAGCAAAGAAGTATAAGAGGGTTAGGGGTCCAAATACAAGTGTCAGGTTTAGAAAGATCCAAACAAACAGGTTCAAGGGTTTTGAGAAGCAAAGCAACCTGGTCATTCTCTGAATCCCTCGGGTCTTTTCTAAAGCCCAGGTTCCAACTTATACCAGAAGAATGGGAGAATGAGACAAACCTCTGAAGGGGTTCAACTTTAAAAAGGGATAATGAATACAGGGAGGGAAAAAGGTGATTGAGAGTGTAATTACCGATCCATAGGTCATCCCAGAACAAAGCCCCATCTCCTGTACACAGATCATCATTTCTAGCATCTATGGTCCTATCAAATCCAGTTTGAAGGAAGCCTTGGGGAGAACTAGACAATGTGAGGAGTAAATGAGAAGGATCTTGGACAAGTGGAGGAGATTTTAATGCAACTCTCGAATTGGAAGACAAAAAGAGGTGTAGCAGAGGTAACAGAGTTATGTGTCTGTTTCTAGATTTCATTCAAAAGCAGGCATTTCATGATCTTGCTTTGTCTGGTGCTACCTATACTTGGACCAGCAATCTAGATTTCCTTCATTGGTAAGACTAGACAGGTTTATAATATCTACCGTATGGGAAGAGTTGTTCCCTAATTCTTCTCAAGAAGCTCTCGTGAAGCCTTTGTCAGATCATGTTCCCTTCTGGACACAAATGGCATTAGAAAGAAGTCAAATCCATTCAGGCTGGAACACTGTCTGCTGGGTTTACAGAGGTTTGATCCAAACATCTCAAAGTGGTACACAGAAATCTCCTATGAAGGCTCAGCTAGCCTTGTAATAAGCAAAAAGTTATAATGGCTCAAAAGTAGGAAAAAAAAACTGGCAATGACAGAAGTCAAAAAAGGTGACAAGAAGAGGGACCTGAATGCCTAAAAATTATTACCAAGATTGTTTTGGAAGAAGAATCAAGGTCTCTAGAGGAGGATCAAAAGAGGAAGAGATCCTTGACCAACAAGGAATTCAACTCTTTGGCTTATCTAAATGGGGTGAGGTGGAGGCAAAGGTCAAGAATTCAGTGGTTAAAAGTTGGTGACAATAATACCGTGTTTTCCACAAATCAGCCAATGCAAGAAGAAGAAGCAACTCCATTAAGAAGCTGGAAAGCCAAGGGCAGATAATTGAGGAGGAAGGGGAAATTGAGATATAAATGGATTACATTTTGAGACATAAATGGAGTGCCAACTGGGAGATTTAGAAAAACCCTTATTGGGGAGGATGTCAAAAAAGTGGTTGAAGAAGTGGTGGGAAGCTCCAGGTTCTGACAGTTTTCCATCCTGTTTTGCAAGAAATACTAGGAGATCATAAAATATGACATCCTTAAAGTTTTGGAGGAGTTTCATTATTTAGCAACATTGGAAAGAAGCCTAAGTACAACCTTCATCTTCCAATTCCCAAGAAAAGGGGGCTGCTGAAATGAAGGATTTCAGCCAGTAAGTTTGAGCAGAAGTGTGTATAAGATTTAGTGGAAGTCTTGGCTACAAGGTTAATAAAGATAATGAATTGCGTTATTTCTATTTATCAGGGGGCTTTTGTCCACAACAAGCACATTCATGATGGTGTCCTCATAGCCAATGAACTCATGGACTCAAGAAAAAAGGAGTGGAAAAAGTGGCTAGTTTTGTAAAATTGATTTAGAAAAGGCCTACAACCATGTTAACTGGGCTTGTCTAGACTACTTGATGGAATTAATGCATTTTGGAATAAAGAAGTGGATGGGTTAAAGAGATGCTAATTCTATATCTAAACAGGGGGTGGGGAGAGATTCCCTGTTTTGGGCACAATTGTAAGGGAGTTGGGTACGGTTAGGGAGAGAAGAGGTTTTGTCTCTCACAGTCTTTGTTCTGTACCTCTATGTACTGTACCTATGTAATAATGCATTTCGGGATGTGTCACTACTTGGTGCAGCCAAAGGCAATTTTAAGAGTTCAAGAGGGCTGCGACAAGGAGATCCTCTGTCTCCCTTGCTTTCCTCGTTGTCATGGAGAGCCTAAGAAAAGTGGCTGCTAGAGCATTAGTGTTGGCCCTGTTGGGATTGTTAGAAGGCTATAAGGTTAGTAATAATGGTACACATAATAGAGCTGTTGCAATTTGCAGATGACAGTCTTTTTTTTCTGATTTCTTCACAGAGCAGGTTCCCAACCAATGATACTTACTATGCTGGTTTGAAGTGGTTAACCTGCCCAAAAGTAAGATGTTGGCAGTCAGGGAAGTGCCTAATGTACAAGATTTGACTGATGTGTTGGGCTGTAAAATAGGAACCCTTCCTTCAAAATATTTGGTCTGCCTCTATGGGCAAAATGCACCTCAAAAAGCATTTTGAGTCCAATATTAGAAAAAGTACACTGAAAATTGGCTTCTTGGAAGGCTAGATATCTGTCCAAAGGTGGGAAAGTCACTCTTATCATAAGTGTGCTGGATAGCCTTCCAGCTTATTATATGTTTATTTCCAATTCCCTCTGAGGTAACAAGAAAAATTGGAAAAAAGAATGAGGGRCTTCCTACGGGTTGGTGGAAGGATTCCTCAAAATACCATCTGGTAAGCTAGGATAATATTTGTAAATCTCTTTCTCATGGTGGGCTGGGAATTAGGAAGGTGAAATTGTTCAATCTAGCACTATTGGGAAGGTGGGTTTGGAGGTTCTCTGCTGAGCAAATGGGTTATGGAGGAAAATAATAGCAGATAAATATGGGTTTAGTGCCAATGGTTGGCATGCTGCTGACTTCCATCTTTCTTATGGATGTGGTGTTTGGAAAGGCCTTTGCAAATTTTATCCCCACTTAATGAAAGGGATAAAATATAAGATTGGCAATGGAAGCAGGCTGAGGTTTAGGCTGGATCCTTGGTGTGGTGACAATACCCTAAAAGAGAGTTTTCCCTCTCTGTTCAATGTGACTGAAATAAACAGGCTTTGGTAGCCGATAAGTTTGAGGTGGAAGGTGGCAGAGTTACTTGGTCCCCTGTTTTCAGGAGAAACTTTAATGATTGGGAGTTGGAGCAGGTGACAGAACTCCTCACTAGAATCCAGAACCAGCACTTAGAGTTGCAACCTGAGGACTCAAGAAGCTGGAAATGGACACAATCAGGCGTATTTTCAGTCAAGACTTTTTACAGAGGCCTACTTGATGAACTCAATAGCAATTTTCTTGCAAGGCCAGTTGGGAAGTTGCTGCACCCCTGAACATCAAATTTGTTTCTTGGGTGGCAGTTAAGGAGAAATGTCTTACAAAACAAATGATTATGAGGAAGGGCTTTACCACACCAGGTCTGTTACACCCTCTATGTAGTTTGGAAGTGGAATCTTCTAACCATTTACTCGTTCATTGCAGCTTTTCTGCAAGGGTCTGACATCAATTGCAGATCTATTTCAAGGATGGAAGATCCCTAGCATGACCATAAAAAGGAAGATTTTTATGGTCTGCCACTCTGCCATCCCAAATGCAGTTTTGTGGGCCATATGGGTGGAGGGAAACAATAGGGTTGTTGAGTAGAAAGCAAAATCTGAGGCAGGGGTAATCAACTTTGTAGTAGAGGAACTAAGGGGTTGGATGTCTATATCTTATGAATTTAAAGATGTTTTTTCTGCATCTTTTTTGAGGGTGGACTTTGGGTTTTTGTTTTTTTTTTTTTTGGGGGGGGTGGGGGCTCCTAGTTCTGAGTATACTTGTACTACAAGCTTCTTTTGATATTAATACATTATACTTTACCTTCTCAAAAAAAAAAAAAGAAAAATCAGGGTCAGAACTGAATATTTTCTATTTCAGCTAATTGAGGTTTTCCATTTTTGTGTTTGTAGAACTGTGGACGCTTTTACTTGTTAAAAAAAATTCTGGGTTCTTTGATGGGCAACTGATGATACTGTTGTATATCTATATCACTTCCTTGTTTGCCTAATTTACCTTCTGATGTCGACTTCTAGGCATTGACTTGATGTGTTCCAAAATAGCATTGCAATTAACAGCTTCATTCCCTTATGGTTCTTCTATGGTTAATTCCTTTTCTTATGGGAGAGATAATTTTTGAAATTTTTTTCACATTGTTCACATTTGTGGTATTTTTTATGCAGCTTTAAGGATTCCATACTTATTCTAACAAGACACAATGATGTTCAGGTACTTTCTTATGTTCTTTGCCTTGTATACCTCTACAGAGAAATTATGTGCATTCTTGCCTTCCTGGATTCTTTATTTCATAATCTCTTTTATGATGCAGTCCTATTGATGTGCTTTCCTCTCTGTCATTAGTAATGTTGCGTGGACATCATACCATTGTTGATTTAAACATGTATGCTTTAGTTTGTGAAAACACTTGAACGACGTTTTCAAGTGTGCTACGACTTCTTGGATTGAAAACCATGCCCATCTCTTGATTTTTTTTTGAATAACTTCAAATTTTATTTATTATAAACAGAATATGTACATATAAGTCAAGCATTCCAGGTTAGTATCTACTACCTCACCTAATATACATACTTTAAATTACAAATGAGACCAGTACAAGTGATCCCTATGAACCCTTTGCTTAGCTAGTGTATCAGCCATCCCATTTGCTGACCTTGGCACCCATTATACTTTTAGGTGCATGCTCCTAATCAGCCATTTGAGCCTCTTTAGTTCACCTTTATATGCCTATACTGCTTTCTTGCTATTCCTTAACCAACCAGCAACCACCTTGGAGTCACCTTCAATGGTTAATTTATCCAAATTAATGTCTCTTGCTTGTTCTACTCCTTGAAGCACAACATTGATCTCCTGTAACTCTTAACAGTCTAAACATGCCATATTGCACCCAAACATTCACAATTGATATTTCGTTCTTATATTAGATGATTGATTTATTTCCATTCTTAAAATAGAAAGTTTGGTTATGAACGCCAACTAGTTGTTGGATGTAACAAGTCACCTTAACAAAAACATGGTTTGACACTTCATCTAGGCATATGTACATGGAACTAGTTGTCCAGTTTTTTAGTAGGGAATCTAGGGTTGACACAAATGAGGTTTAGTATGGGTTGGAATAACCCCAACGGCCCAACCCTATGGAAAAATTTCCGTCCTAACTCCACCTCATTCTCCACTGCCCAACAAAAAACCTGGCAGTTCCTATACCCCCAACTCGCTACTTGCAAAACCATTACTACACTGTGTTGCCTTGTTGTAAGGTAAGATGTCCAAATGTTTGCATGGATTAGTAGAGTTAAATGTTCAAATCACTTCGAAAAAACTTAAATGAACAAGCAAGAAACACTTCAAATAATTAGGATAGAACCCATCCCAGCTCTTCACAACCTTCTATTCTAGCATGCACAAGTCAGGCTCAGAATGCTGTGGCCACGAGCACAGGTCCATCTAGTCCCAGCCCAACTGGCCAAAGACCACCCATTCAGTATGTCTATTACAGGAAGCCATGTCAGCCATTTGGTTAGTGAGTGACCTCCAAGTGCTGGTTGAATAGCCATTCCCATCCATTCTTATTTCCTATTTGGGAACACTTAAAATAAGTACTTATTTTAAGTGCTGGTACCACACAATAAGTGGAAAATAAGTACTTATTCGTGTTTTCCAGATAAACCTAGAGTTGGGTGGGTTTTTAAGTGCTTATTCAATAAGTACTTATGTCTTTTTTATGGGACAAGACTGCCCCCAGTGTTTTGTTTATTTCCAGGGACTGCCCCCATCTTCGAAAAGCCGAAGAATCCTATTGTTTTCTCTCAATCGAATCTTAACTTGCATCAGCAGTGCCGGCAACTATTGTTTTCTCTCCATTGTGTCAATATAATATTCATTTCTCTCCCTCTCCATTGTGGTTATATAGTATTCATAAGTATCAAATATATGCCTATCTTAAGTTAGAGCTATAATTGTCATTTCCACAAATACAAGTACTTATAGGATAAGCAGGACACCAAACACTGCAACATAAATAAGTACCTAAAATAAGTACAAGTGGTTTGAGAAAAGATCTTCCAAATTCCTATAAAAAAAGATCTCCCAAGCGCTAATAAGTACTTTAAAACAAACACTTATTTCCCAAGAATAATCTTAGTGGTTGTAACATAAACTTTTTCCAGAAGAAAGTGGTTTAGGATTATTGGTATCCAAAAGCATCAGAGGGTTGAAATTATCAAAAAAATAAAATAAAAAAGCATCAGAGAGTTGAATGGAAGAAACCAATCATCATCATCCAAGCCTTATCCCAACTGTATAGGGTTGGATGATTGTGTATCGTACACGATTGGAGGTCACTGGAGGCTTATGATACATCTCCATTTGTGTATTATAAAGGCAAATGACGGTGTGTATCATAAAAAGCAATTGAAGACAGTGTGTATCAAGCTTGAGAAAAAAGGCAAAGGACTGTATTATAAAAAGCAATTTTGTCAAGGAGCTTGACAAAGAAAGGGATGGTATGAGTTTCAAACTTTTGGTGAAGAGGGCTAGAGTTATCAAAGTGATGGGGTAGTCAATTGAGAGCTATAATAACTGTTATGTAGTTGATAGATACCTATGTTGCAGTTGCCTAGGACTATCTATGACCTTTGTTTAGTTATAATTTTTTTTTTTTTTGTTTAAGTTATCTGTTGTAACCAAGGTTCAAAATATCAATACACCCTATATGCAGTAGAGGTGTATCGGGCAGTATCAATAGCTTTTTTTATTTTTTTATTTTTTTTAGTTTTCTTGAATCTGGTTCAGAGGGGCCGGTTTAAGGTCCGTCCACCCTCTGAACCTGTCGAGACCCCGAAACACCCCTTGTAGGGGCGTATCGGGAAGCCCCCGATACGACCCGATACGTATCGATATTTTGAACTTTGGTTATAACTTAAAATAGTATCATATATGCCTTTATGTTGTTATGCGCACGCTAGTTGCTTTAAGCATTTGTAATGGTATGTTGTTGGATTATGGACTTATTGTGTATAAAATAGAAAGAAGGCAGAAGATACAATGATAATGGAGCTGGAAATGATAGAAGGTATAATGGAGATGCACAAGTAGGGCTGTCAACTGGGCTGGATTTGGTCCAATCCGGTCCAATCCAATATTGGTCCATTTACAAATGGACTGGACCAAATCCAGTCCAAATAAAATGCAAATGGACCGGATTGGGGGTCCAATCCAATCCAAATCGAATCAAACACCAAAATAACATGGGAAATCCAGAAAATATATAAATAACTACAACACTTGCTGCAATCCAATCCAATCCAATTAAAATGCAAATGGACCAGATTGGGTCCAACCCAATCCAAATTGAATCAAACACCAAAATAACATGAGAAATCCAAAAAATATATATAAAAAAACTATAACAGCTTCTACAATCCAATCCAATCCAATCCAATTAAAATGCAAATGCACTGGATTGGGTCCAATCCCAATCCAGTCCAATTAAAATGCAAACGGACCGGATTGGGTCCAATCAAATCCAAAGTGAATGAATAAAAGTACTTCGATAAAAGTGCTTTCGTAAAAGTATTTTTGTAAAAATGCTTTTGTAAGTACTTTTGTAAAAGTGCTTCCATAAAAGTGTGTTATCTTTTGTGGTGTTGGGAGCTTAAGGGACAGTCCAAGATCACAAAGAGTGTTTGGTCTTCCATCCCAGCTGCGGTGTTAAGTACTATTTGGGCTGAAAGGAATAACAGAATATTCCAAAACAAATTAGTGAAGTGGATCAACTTATTTCCTATACATTTGGAACGATAATATCCTGGAATGCTGCTGTAAAAGGACTTCAACCAAGGACTTTAGGAGCCCAGCTGCTGTTTGGGGAGAACTAACTTTCTTTGTACTCTTGGTTTTGGGCCTTAGTGGAAAGGCCCATTGTAATTTGTATGCTGTTTCTTCATCAATAAAAGTTATTTACCTTTTTTTTTAAAAAAAGTGCTTTCATAAAAGTGCTTTTGTAAAAGTACTTTTACAGAAGTGCTTTCATAAAAGTGCTTTTGTAAAAGTACTTTTACAGAAGTGATTTTATAAAAGTACTTTCACAAAAGTGCTTTTATAAAAGTTTTTTCATAAAGTGCTTTTATAAAAGTTCTTTCATAAAAGTACTTTTGTAAAAGTGTTTTGTAAAAGTACTTTTATAAACATACTTTTATAAAATTGCTTTTATAACAAGTGCTTTCATAAAAGTACTCTACTTTCATAAAGTACTTTTTATAAAATTACTTTAAAAGTGCTTTTGTAAAAGTATTTTCATAAAAATACTTTCATAAAAGTGTTTTTATAAAAGTAATTTCATAAAAGCACTTTCATATGGGTACTTTTGTGAAAGTACTTTTATAAAAATCCTTTGATAAAAGCACTTCCGTAAAAATGCTTTTATAGAAATAATTTTGTAAAAGTTCTTTCATAAAAATTCTTCTGTAAAAGTGATTTTATAATAATACTTTCATAAAAGTTCTTTTATAAAAGTGATTTCCTAAAAATACTTTGGAGTATTTTTATAAAATTAGTTTTATATTAAACTTGAGCAAACCGCTTTTATTGTGATTCACATATTTAATGACTTTGGACTACCGGACCAATCAGTTTTGTCCAATTCAGTCCACTATGCGTACAAACCATTTATATTTGGACTGGTCCGAGTCCATATAATCTTTTGGACCGTCCAAAATACATTTGGACTGGATGGGGTCCAAACTGAATCCGGCCCATTGACACCTCTATGCACAAGGGTTGCATATAGCTGATACGGTAGGAGAAAAATGCAAGAATAGTAATCATAAAAAAAATGCAAGAATAGTCAATGGCAAAGCACAAAGTGAAGAGGCTTTAATAGAAAACATAACAATCAAGGTAATAGATCGAGTCTGGATTTTGAAGCTGTTTGCATATTTCCCTGTGGAAGACTATAGGGGATGACAAAGCACTGTTTCCTCTACACCAGTTAAGACCACAATGGCTCCAAGTTGGACACCACATAGTTGTCAAGGTAACACCTAGGTAGGTGCCTGGGTGATTTATAGTCAAGACAGCACCCATGGAGGGTCACCATACCCAAGTGTCTAGCTTTTCTGCACAAGGCACTATATAATATTTTTTATAATTTTCATTTTTAAAGATTATAATAAAAAAGTAGACATTATTATACTAAATTATTCATTTTGTGGGTTTATATACAAGTATCTTTTTATTACTTTGTTACCCTTAAAGACTTCAAAACCTGAACCAATAAACAGGAAATACCTTAAAATTTTATCCAATCAAAGGCGGAATTGCTGGCTGTTTTACAAGGCCTTCGATTGAACAGAAACCTGAACATTGGAGATGTGGTGGTAAGAGATTCAAGGGTTGCAGTGCGTTGGGTTTGAAGCAACAGCTTGGACTCTTGGCAATATAGGAATCTAATCAAAGAAATAAGAACCTTGGCTAGGGAAATGAGAGCTACTTTTAAGTGGGCACACAGGTCAGCCAATGATTAGTTGGTTCACTTGAAAGAGGAGTGACAAGCAATGATCTTTTTGGGAAACAACAGCCTAAGATTTGTGAACTGTACTCTGTAATTGATGATAAACAGATAGCATAGGAAGCTGGGCTATCCTAATTCAGGGAATGCCTGGCACATATCTAGTTGCACTCCATTCTTTTATACCATCCATGGAGTCTGATAGTTCTCGATAAAAAAATGGAGTTCTTTTAGGTCTTTGCATAACCAGTGGTGTGTTCCTTTTCTACTGCTGATGGAGGTGTGATTTGCAAATAGTTCCTTATTTCTTCTCTTTGCCTTTTTTTTATGGTTGTGACAGAAGAACCATGGAATGACCTATGGGATAATAGCATATAAGGGCAACTTTTGGGTCCTAATATCAGTAAAAGTAATATTTTAAAAAAAATATAAAAAATAGGGTAACTTTTGAAAAATAATATCAATAAAGGGCAGAATCACTATTCATCTTCTTCCTCTTAAAGTCTATTCACCAGCGCCCGCCGCCTGTCGCCTGCCGCCGTCCGCCGCCACCTCCGGCAACGCCTCCGCCTGTCTCTGCCCACCTCCGCCTCCGCTTCTGGCAATGTTGCCAGAGGTGGGCGGAGGCAGAGGCGGCGGCGGCGCTGGTGGTTATTTCTCTGCCCAACGCTGCCACCTCCGCCCACTAGCGCCGCCGCTGCCTCTGTCTCCACCCACCTCTGGCAACATTGCTGGAGGCGGAGGCGGAGGTGGCAGTGTTGGCCAGAGAAATAACCACCAGCGCCGCCACCGCCGCCTCTGCCTCCGCCCAACTCCGGCAACGTTGTCGGAGGTGGAGGTGGGTGGAGGCGTAGCCAGAGGCGGCGGTGCTCGTGAATAGACTGCAAGAGGAAGAAGATGAACAGTGATTCTGCCCTTTATTGATATTATTTTTCAAAAGTTACCCTATTTTTGAAATTTTTTTAAAATATTACTTTTACTGATATTAGGGCCCAAAGGTTGCCCTTATATGCTATGAATACCACCTTTATTGCATGAACTTCTACTCCTTTCTGCAACTGTTTCATCTTCTAGTTGATGGAGGAAAACTCAAGAAGGAAGGATGCTTAGGGGAATAATAATTTTATGGATGATGAAGAAGTTACAGAATTAGCGGAATATTGTGGCAAGAAATCGAGGGGTGAATAAATGACTTAAAGAGACAAGATGGGAAACATGGGGCAGAATTTCAAGTTTAGGACTAAACCAACCCATGTCTGAAAATCTGGAAGATGATGAGATAATTGAGGGGGAAAGGAGAGATTGTAGCAGTAAAATTGGAAAATCAAAAGAAACAATGGATGATTCAACTGGAGAGGGGGCGGGCATTAGAGGAGAATGAAGATCTGGAGGTGTGTCTATATAATTAGGAAAATTAATAAGTGGGTGGAGCTTGGTAAGGTGATTGACTGAGAGATTGAGATAGGAAGGGTGTTGGTGTGTTTTTCATGGGGGAGAGGAGGCGGCTGGAAGAATATTTGAGAAGCTTGGTAAAAGACAAAGGAGGAAAGAAGAGGAGGATAAATAGAAAAGAATAGAGGTTGCTGAATCTTGTGCGGGTAGGTTGTAATACTATTGGAGGGGGAGGGGGGGGGGGGAAGCAAGAGTGAAAGAGGTGTGAGGGAGAATAGAAAAAAGAAGTGTTATGCTGAGAGTAGAGGATATTTGGAAGAAATTGGTTGGCTGTGGGATATTGACAGGTCATTTTTGGTTTGATGATGTCATGGTTCAAAGTAACCAAATGTTTGATACTCAACTTTTGTGTATCACACGATTCAAAGGGGCAATACTTGTAGTTTTAAAAAGTTTCAGGTTTCAAAATTTTAACCAGGACATCTCTAGGAAGGCTATTAAAGTTTGAAAATGACCTTTGTCCTAAATTGTGGTATTTGGTGTTTTGGTGGATTCAGAAACTGATAGGTGCCATACGATATACACGGATACGTTGCACAACATATAAAAAACTGATACCTTTGTCCTTAAGTGATTGCTTATTACTTTCTTTCTATTTTCTTTCTTAATAAACTTTCTTTTATTATAAAAAAAACATGGCTACTGGTAATCCGTATCAATCAGTCAGTAAAATTGGTGCAACTTAGCCTTTAATCCATCCCGATCAGTCAACATGGACTTGTGTTTTCTTCATTTGAAAATATGCATTCTAGTCCAGATCATTTATCATGTCCTTTATAAAGAAAAACATACTTTCTAGGCAATTAGTGTAGGAAAAATGTAATATGAAAGTAAAAGCAATTGATATCAGAGAATAATGCAATGTGAACAGAGCTATGTTAATCTCATCTAACATTTGGATGGATAATCAATCTCATCTCAAATTTGGTAAAAAGAACTCTTTATGTCATGATATTAAATTACTTTTGATATTAGAACCAGATAGTCTATAAGTTCATAACCTTTTTCCACGTGGTGTTTTTTTTTTCTAGGATATTGTAGCTATGTAAATTCTGCATTTTAATATAATATAGGTATCTATTATTCTTATAGCAATAAATTAGAGAATGCTCCTAACTGAAAAAATATTAAAATATTTACTTACAGGCAGGAATATTTCAAAGTTCAACATATTTATAACTGCAGTTCTTACTAGTCTTTGGCTTGATTGCATTCCAAATTGGTCATAACCATTTATATCAGTAGCTTCAATCCTGGTTTTCTTGCTTATTATGCACTACTTGCCTATTTATTTAGATTTATGTTCATGATGACATCATTGATCATTCCTTTATATGCAAAGTATTGTACAGTGATCAGAAGTAAAAGTTGTTAATATTTTATGAATTTTATGTTTTTTGTTGTTTAAGTTTTGTTTGGAAATGAACATGAATCTGCATGCCTTGTGGTTGAGATGGGTTTTAATCATTCTGGGTCCATATAGGTACACCATATTGCACGGAACTTCCGAGACAGATGGATTCCTCGTTCCATTAGGAAAGTAAGCTACTCAGACAGGGATGACATCAAATTGGAATTGCAAGGTGGTCCAAACTCCAGTTGGCTTTCTTTATCACATAAACGCTGGAATGATCAAGGTTTAAGACCCACAGAAGCAATCAATTGTGTCACTCAAGCAATGCATGCAGCAAATCCACTTGGCACTGATGGCCAAGAGGGCAGTTCCATTCCTTATATCAGCAGTTGTCCACCAAATGTGACAAGGATGCGGAAGTTTAAAAGTCGCTGGGATCAACCTGTGGAGAAAAACCTGGATCTGCAACTACCTCATATGATCAAAAAACAAAAAGTAGAACCAATTTCAAAACAGAAACTTGAACCTAGTGCACAGCAGCTTGAGAGCTGTGAAGTTGTGAAGGACCAAATAATGGAAGTTGAGAATGACAAAAATGTCAAAGGTTGCATTCTATCTCAGCAAGATGAAGCAGCTACCAGGGTTGATGCTAGCTACATCCAAGATGCACCTCCTGGGTTTTCGTCTCTGAAGAGTTCCCCAGTTCCATCCAATCCTTCTGCAGTTACTACTGCTGAATTTTCATCAAAAGAGGCTGGTCATGTAGGTTGTGGTTGTGAAGTAATTATGGGGACTGCCCAGGCAAGGTACCTTTCTCATTTGTCTGTGTCATACGGAATTCCATTATCCTTTGTGCAGCAGCTGGGGACACTACAGGCAGAATCTGTGGACTGTTGGACAATAGCACCGGGCATTCCTTTTCATCCTTTCCCACCATTACCTCCTTTTCCTCGTGATAGAAGCAACTCTTCATCCCCAGCATCTACTGCTAATCCAGTGACAACTAATGCATGTGGAGGTCTGAGCACTTCATGGGAAAGGCGAGTAGATGTGACAGTTACTGGGACAAGCAATCAGGAAATGGTTGAGCGAGTGAGATGTTCATCAAATGGCTTGGGAAGGAGGTACTTCAGACAGAAAAAGTTGAATAATTATTATCGCTACCCATGGCTCCGCACAAGGAATGGCTGGGGATTCAAAGGAAACAATTCAAGAAATGGAGTATACAATGTAGGTGTAGGACATGTAGTAGTAAATGAGTCCAGGACTGTGTGTTTAGATGGTGTAAGTAGTGGAGGTGAGAATTTGGGTTCTAGTTTGTATCAAACTCCATGACACTCATACCAAGGTTGATTGAAACAGATGCAGTGAGGAGCTGCTGGCTTTTTCCCCAACTCCTCTCTATGTATTTCCAATTCTTTTGTTATACAGGTTTTATGATTAATGAAAATTTATTATTTGATTATAGTCCTTACCATCCAAGTTCCTTCCAACAGCTGATGCCAAATGCAACCCTGAGTTGATGCCATCCTCCCATGGTTTTTGATCCAACCACCAACTACATCAAAGAGGCGGGTATTCTTGTTTATGTATGGTTCATAAAGAAAATTAGGACACCTCAGGTATTTGAAGTAAAATATTAGATTTCTTTTTTAATGTCTTGTTTTGGATTATATGCATGTTTTTTCTGCTTTTACATAATGCCACTGAAAAGGCATAATTGTCTTTATTTTTAATTGTTTATTTCCTGACTTATTACAGCAGTTAAACTAGCTGATTTTTCTTGTAGTTGCTGCAAGTGACTTGTATGAATTAAGGATTTTTTTTTTTTTTTTAATTTAAATCATCTTGCCTGATGGGGATGTTTTCATGAGACTGCTATTTTAGGGACAAACTGTGATTCAATTAGCACAGCTCTTTACCCCTTGCTTTGCTAATCTATCTGCTATGGATTTAGGCATTTAGCACAGCTCTTTACCCACTGAATCTTTACTTCCCAGTTTCTTGTCCATTTAAACTTCCTTTTTAGATTGCTGTATATCCACATCCGCAGATAATCATACTGCAGCCAACTAACCACCAGTTTAGAGTCCCCTTCTATAATTAATCTTCTAATGTTCAACAATCTTGTTCTCTTATTCTTTTCATCAATGCCAATACTTCTGCCCTAAAAGAGTCTCCTTCCCATACTACTTCCATCAAAGTTAAGCTTAAGGAAGCCTCTGTCTAGTGGAGATGAAAATAAATTAGTTATTCATTGAGACATGAGAGAACATTTACATGGATTTTAATCAATGTGCCACTCTGATCTTATTGTCAATAATACCATCCTTAGTTCTTTCCTTCTCCTGGAATAGTCTTGAGTTCCTTTCTTCCCAAATTGTCCAAAATTTCCACTCTTGTGTATTTCTACATAAGTCTTCCCCTTCCATCTGGCCATTTAAAGAATGTTCAGACAAATAAGCTTTGAACATTAGCCTGAGGAGTCCACCTGCACCCAATCAAAGAGAGAAACCATTCCCAAATGCAAGTAGTAAAGGAACAGGAAATTAACAAGTGATAGCAATTCTGTGATAGCAATTCTCACCATTGGCCTTTACATAAAAAAACAACTATGTGGGGATAAACACAACTATGGTCTCTTTCTTTCAAGCAGTTAACATGTATTAATCTTTTTATGAACAACTTCCCAACATAAAGCACTAACCTTAGGTGGATTAGGTTTACACCAGACTTCCTTTACTGGAAAAGATTGCCAAGAGCTTAGTCACTTTGAGATAGAGCCTTGAAAATGGAGGCACAAGTAAAGGAACCAGAGGGGGAACAAGTCTAGACTTGGCCATCAGGTTTGGAAGAGTCAATGAAGACTTGTTCCAGTAATTGCAACTAGTACATTTGGAGTTTTTGAGTCCCTAATAGAGCTAGAAGGAACTAGGAATTTAGACACAGGCTCATTTTTCAAGCGACTCAGAAAAAGGATAAGGAAATTGATCCTTTAAAGGGGAAGAGCCCAACCAAGCATGTTCCTAGAATTTAAGTCTGCCTCCACAACAAAGATTGTACTTACCAAGAGGAGTAACAGAAGTAGAATACCAGTAATGGCCTTCTAAGGTGAATCTCGAGTTGCTCGATTTAGTGCTCCAATGCTCCATCCATTGGCTAAGAGCCCATGTATGCTTAGACCACTTTACCCATAAATTATCTCTTTCTTGAGGCAACCTCCAGAGCCACTTCCCAATAAAGCTTGGTTTCTTCTCTATAAGCAACCTAGACCTAATACACCTAGCTCTTTGCTTCTATTACCACTTCCCCACTAATTTTGTGATCTCTATTCCCTTTCCTTGGGCTTCCACAAAAAATCTCGCATTAACTTCACAAAGTGGCACCTTAATACGCCTCCCACGCCTTTGTTTAAGACTAAGATTTCAGACCAACAAAGCGGCACCTTAATAATTGAAAACTGTAAAAAGTTCTTTGCAGAATCACAATATCTAGATTTAGCTTAATGAATATCATCTCATATTATGCATCGGATTATATCATCTTTCTTTTTAAACATAATGAAAGTGAAAAAAAATAAAGAAAAATAAAATTGAACAGCCTAGTAAGATTGTCCAGTTTTACTTTGACCTTCCTGCAGTAGGGAAAAGAAGTTTGCACCTTCCATGTCATGTGGCAAGTGGGTAGGACTTAAAAAAAGAGTTAGGTCAGTGTTTTAAAAGATATCCCTAGGTTCATGGGCAAGGTGCATTTCAAGTCTTTTACCTCACCTCAACCTAGGTGCAGCTAGGGGTTAACCAAACTGTGACCAATATTTTGAAATTGAACCAAACCAATCGATTTCTTGAAAATCCAAACCAAAACCGAACCAAAGCAACCGGGTAACCACTTTTTGGTTTTTTGGTATTTTTATTATAATGTAAATTTCATATCTCTTATGTTATGGGCCCGAGAATAGGATCTCGTCACGGGTCGATCCACGGGGAGAACCTCTAGTTTCCCCTTGCCCCTCCCTTTGCATGCAGACCCTATCGTGGCGACCTAAGGGGTGATTTGTCCAAGAGATCACCCTAACTCTCCTTTACTCTTCTCTTTGACTGAAATTTTGGATGCCTTTATTCAATAA